GGAGACTGTCAGGCAAGGGAAATACTTATTGGTCAGCTTGATTTTCAAGGCTCTGGCATTCTGGGCAGTTTTTAAGGCCCTAGATAAGTTTTCTGATGTCAGTTCTATATAAATTTCATTGTTTTCTGCCGAGACACCTTCCATCTGAAATTCACTGAAGAAGTTCTCCTAAACAAAACAAAACAAACAAACAAAATGGAGGAGCCTGAGTGACCTTTCCAAGGGCACTGGGCTGCTTGTAGACCTCTGGAGTTTTCACTCACCTGTTGCAGCTCACACCACATGCTCACTCCACCATTGGCCACTTTATCTAACAGGATGAAATTCAACTTATCTGGGTTGATGCGAAGGGTGCAGGTTTTTACAAGCTTGGCTATCATGTTACTGATTCCTATAATAAAGAATTACTATATATATATAATTACTATAACTTATAATCATGTATATCTCATTAAGAAAACCCCCATAGTTCTCAAGTTTACTACAACTCATATAGACCCTGTGGGACGTAGTAGATTCTACTGCCCCATAGCATTTGTGAAGCTGTAAATTTTTACAAGATTGCCTTCTCTTCCTCTCATAGATGGGCTATTTGGTTTAATAGTCAACTTTCATATTAGCAGTCCAATGCTTAACCTTTAGCACAAGTTCTCTTAGATTATGTCTTCTTGTGTCAATGAGTCGAAACCAACCCACAGCTGACCCTCTGGCGGGTTCTGTAATTAGCTTGGGAAAAGACTGCTCATCTTTCTCCAGTGGAGAGGCTGGTGAATGTGAACTGCATGCCTTTGAGATGAAAGAGCAACTCCTTGGCACTATAGATACTGCAGAATTATACATGTAATAGTGTTTACCTTTGCTGACTATTTTTTTTCATTATTTTTAATGAAAGTTTACAGAGACTTTGGATTTCTATTCATTAATTGTTGCACTTTTCTCTCTGCCCAACCTTCCCTCCCCAGTTTGCTCTTCCCTTTGAAAAGTAAAATTCTTTCATTTTATACAGTCTCTCCCCCCCAAGTCCACTCCACTATGCAGTCTTCATTTTGAAAAGTAAAATTGTTATACAATGCCTCCCCCCAAGTCTACTCCACAATGCAGCCTTCGATCTGGACTCATATCATGACAGTAATACCTAATCATATATCCCTTTTAAACACTTCTCTCCTCTTCTGTTTCAATACAGAATACATAATTTATCCTTTTTTTCTCAGTCTCCCCCCAACCCCGATATCAGTCCTGTTTTACAACAGTGGCAGTATGCAGTATTTGTCCTTTTGTGACTGAGATCTGTCACTCAGCATAATGTCCTCCAGGGTCACCTACTTTGTATAATATTTCATGAGTTCCTTGTTTTTCAATGCAGTGTAGTATTCCATTGTGTGTAAATATACCACAGCTTGTACCTGGGTTGTTTCCGACTCTTTACTATTGTGAACAAAGCAGCAATAAACATGGGTGTGCATATATTTGCTTGGGTGGCAGTTCTGGTATCTTTATGGTATATTCCCAGTAGTGGAACTGCTGGGTCAAATGGTATTTCTGTTTCCAACTTTTTGAGAAAGTGTCATTTTGCCTTCCTTAGTGGTTGCAACAGGGTTCCAGTTTCTCCACAACCTCACCAGCATTTGTTGTTTGCTTTTCTGGTGAATTCTGCTATTCTTACTGGAGAGAGATGTTTGTTTTGATTTGCATCTCTCTTAGAGCTAGGGACTTTGATAATTTCTTCATGTGCTTGTTGGCCATCTGAATGTCTTCTTTGATGAAGTGTCTGTTCATATCCTGTGTCCATTTTTCAATTGGGTTATTTACATTTATCTTGTGGTGCTCGAGTATTTTAAAAATTCTCAACTTAAGTCCCTTATCTGACATGTCATTATCAAATATTTTTCCCAGTTTGTGGCTTCCCTTTTCACCCTGTTGAAGATTTTGGATGTGCATAGGGATTTGATTCTTAGAAGTTCTTATTCATCTATTTTATCCTTTGCTGGTTGTAGATTTTTCAGTATACTTGGAAGACTATTTCTTATGCACCTGACCCACCCACTAGGCCACCAAGAGTTCCATACTGCATCTATCACGGAACAATTTATTGTGAAAAAGTTCTCCTTTCCCATGAAGGCTCCCGGTGAATTACCAACAGTTTACAACTGTATCACAGAGGAAGGTTCTTTATAGCCACAGATGTCAACACCTCTGTGACTTTTTTACTTTTAGACACTCTGGGACACTATGCAATCAAATAAAGAAACTGAGGTTAGTTGTCGCATCCATTAATTTAACACGTGTCACTGTTCATTAAGTACGGGAGCACTGAGTTCAAAGCAAGGAGAAGCGAGATGAAGCCAAGTTGTGCAGGAATTTCTTATCAAATAAAAATACTGAAACAGGGCCTGGAAACTATGAGAAGAGGCTTCACATCTCCTTCCGCAAAGCGCGCTCCCGCCCCCCCCCCCCCCCCGCCACGAGGGCCTCTGTTGCGCTCTTCCTCCGGACCAGCCCCGTGCGCCCCACCCGGATCCCTCCCTGCCAGTTCCGCCCTCCTTTTCCCAAGTTCCCCTTTCCCAGCTCCTCTCAACACGGCCTTGGATGGGCTGCGGCCCAGCTCACGCGTGAAATGGTTCAGACAGGCCGTGTCCACGATCTTTGCCCGAAACTTCATGGCTACGCTGGCGGGCCCAAACGAGGGCGTCTGTGGGTAGAGAACCTGGGTCCCCTCACATCTCCCCGCCGGCCAGAAACGCGATAGAGCCTAAGTTAGTTCCGCTGAGCTGGGCACCGCCCCCCTAACTATGCCCGGCTTGTTCATTATAAACGCCACGGTTCAACTCCTCTGAGCCCAAAGGGAAGCGGCCACTGCACTATGCGCGAGCAGCGCCTGGGCCCCGGCCTCGGGCTGGCGTTCAGGACTGGTTCGGGGCATAGGGAGCGGGCAGCGCCACGTTCTCCTGCAGCAGCTTTGAGCGGTTGGGTCCTGGCAGTTGCCTACAGAGACCCTCACAGCGGCGACCTCACAGGCCACGCCCCACGCGGGTTCTTTTCCGCGACTGAGGTCTTAGGCCCCGAAGTGTGAGGGAAGTGGACCCTGGGTCTCGCATTTTAATAAATTCTGTGACCTGCATTTCAAGTTCTGTATTAAAATAGACGATCAAAGTATGCATTTAAATGTCCAAACCTATGAAGCACAACTTTAGACCTGCCTCCAGATTCAGGAGAGAGGAGAACCTCCTCCACGGACAGTGACCAAAGCCATGGTCAAAGCTTGGACGAGTTTGAGGACAGTACAGGTCAGAAGTCACCTCGGTTATTCTCAGGTTGCACTGAGTCTTGTGGGACTCTAAGGTCCCTAATAACCACCACTAGTTTTATATGACAGCACTGGCCCCTGGGCAGTGCAATGTCCCTGTTTGATTATGGCTTTCAATTATTTGGTTACTTTTGTTTTCAAATCTGAAAACAAATTTTAACCAGATATGGTTAAAAATACTTATCATTCGCTGACCCTCCGGCGAGTTTTGCCAGGGAGCTCTGGTGACCTAGTGGTAAGGAATTGGACTGACACACAAAGGTAGCTGCTTCCTAGAAGGCTGAGCAGTTTCTTCCTGTGTGATTTACTACCTCTGAAAAGCCTTTTATTATAGGCTTAACATATTCAATAATTTGTAAGAGTTATAATTAAACATATTGATGTTGTTGTTTTTGTGTTGTTATGTGCCATCGAGTCGTTTGCGACTCATAGCGACCCTATGTACAACAGCCCTAAACTCTGCTCTGTCCTGTGCCAGTCGCACTGTCTCTGACACTCCAATCCCAAACATATTGATAGCACTTTTTTTTAATTATATTTTATTTTCATAAACATTTACAGAGATTTTGGGTTTCCTTTCATTCATTGTTGCACTATTCTCTCTACCCTTCTCCCAGTTTGTTCTTGTCCAAATGCCACAGTGCTTGTCAAAGGCAGTTCTGATTAATCTTCTTTGTCAGTGTGTCCTTTGCCATTCCCTATCAC